CCGCGGCTGAGAATCTCGTTCGCAAGCCATCGTGGCTTCAGTGGTCTTTGTGCTTGCCATCGGCGTCTGAGTATATTATTGACACCTCGGCGTTCATGTCCATCTCTTCGCATTCTTCGCCATCGTCGTCTTCGTTGTCGCTGTACTGCGCGTCGTTCATGGCGGCTAGCAGCACACTGCTATTTTTGCTTGTCGCGAGTGTGCGCGCGCTCTGGCCCTTCAAGAACCGTAGACCTGTCCAGGACTCTGTTTCGTGGCTGGACTCGTGTCGTTCGCGTCATCTCTGATTGCAAATGCTGCTGGGAGACGAGTAGGGTAGGGGTTCTGGTTGAACTTCAAAGGTCCTCGGGCGTCACTGGTGGAGCGGACATGATCGAGAGTGCTTCACAGGGGGCCCTGCTTCTTCCCAGGCACGCGTGGTCGGTGGCCGGCTCCCACCACCAAACCTTCATTGTTCCGGGATCTGTGAAACCTTGGGCGATTTTTGCACTGGACAGGACGCGTGCCATTCGGCTCGTGTCCGGCTCGTCATTCATAGCTTTTTAATGCAGCCAACGCTCCGGTTCTCGAGGAGGCGGGGACCCCTAAACCCCTAAACCCTTAACCCCAAAAAAGCCCTAAACCCTAAACCCCCCAAAACCCCTAAACCCTGAATCCCTAAACCCCCAAAAAACCCTAAACCCCTAAACCCTAAGCCCCTAAACTCCCTCAGCTCTAAACCCGGAACCCCTGAACCCTCGCGCGCTCCCGGAGGCAAGTCGGGTCGGGAGCACGGCGTTGCATGTCCTGGGCTTTGAGGTAACATAAGGGGTTTAGGGGTTTAGTTTAGGGCTTAGGATTTAGGATTTAGGGTTTAGGGGTTGGGAGTTTAGGATTTAGGGGTTTAGGGTTTAGGGATCCTTTAAGGAAAAGGTCTCCCAAAAAAATATCAACTCTAACTTAATTAATTTAGGGTTTAGGGTTTAGGGTTCCTTTAAGGCAAAGGTCCACCCCCCCCAAAAAAAATTATCAACTCTAACTTAACTAATTTAGGGTTTAGGGCTTATAGGGTTCACCCAGTGTCGTTCACAGCCCGCAGGGTCTCTTCGGCGAAGTTGCGCTGACGCATCCTCGTTTGGGGCTTCCGGGGTTTAGGGCTTGGGGGTGTATGTAGGGGTGTAGGGTTTAGGGGTTTAGGGTTTAGGACGTTCAGGGGTGAAAAACATAGGGGTGTAGGGTTTCGGGTTTGGGGGGTGTGGGGTCTAGGGCGTCTGGTTCAGGCTTGATTTCGGGTGTAGGCTTTTGGGTGGGTGTCGGTTTGTCCTTGCCACGTAGTAGAGCACCACGCCAGCATTCACGTGGTGCAATTGAACTGCGTGGGGTGCTGCCAGCACATGGTGCTCCTGCATGTTGTCGAACTCCCTCCACAGGCTCGCAATGTCGTCGAGCAGGATGATGTCACCCACATCTATGGAAATTATCTTGTCTATGTCCGGTGGTAGCAGCAGATGGCATACTACCCGGGCCAAGATGGCTTTCCCGGCAGCACCGAAGCTGCAAGTCTGGGTGGGGTACTTCTCGAGGTACATCGAGAACTGCGGATGGTCGTTGAAGTTGATGTACTCAAAAGTCACACCCTCAAACTTCTGAAATTGGTCCTTGAGTTCCTGGACCGCAAGTTGCCATGCACGCAAGCCCGGATCGTCCCCAAGCACCATCACGCGCAGACTGGCTGTCCGATGTTGGAGAACACTCCAGAGGGTCAGAAATCCAGTCTTTGCCCAGTCTCCCAGGCTCACTATAAGCAAAGCCACCCGGGCCGAAGCAGCTGGATTCATCTGCGATGAGTTCGCATGGAAATAGCCGCGCCCCACCGGGGCTTCCAACTGACGGCTGAAGACCTCAATGTGGCACAAAAGCTGCAGTCAACAGTGGAAGTGGTCGCGGGAGAGGCTATATCAGCTATCAGCAACGTTTTCTTTGGAGCCTTGCGCTACCTCAGACGTCACAAGATGGCTTTCCGATGCTAGCGTCCCAACCACAAAAAAATACACAGGTGTCGAAAAGGACAATCTTATGAAGGACCGAAGCTCGTTTCCTACACATCCTTTTACAGCCGTCTACAAAGCAAAGGGACGGTACTGAGCTCTACACTCGAAATGGTGCAGCCCAGCACCCACCATTGCGTTTCGGCAGCCCTAAACCCTCAACACTGAACCCTAAACCCCTAGAGACTTAAACGCTAAACCCCTAAACCCCTAAACCCCTAGAACCCTAGAACCCCAAACCCCTAAACCCTGGAGCCCTAGAACCCTAGAGCCCTAAACACTAAACCCTAGAAACCCTAAACTTCCTAAACCCTAGAAACCCTAAACCACGAAGCCGGCTAAACTACCCAGCAGCCGGGCCTGCAAGTTGGGGATGAGGCTGTAGGCCAGGAAGCTGTAGGCCTGAAGCTGGGTCTGCGTTTTTTTTTGGGGGGGGGGAGGGGGTTTAGGGTTTATAGGGGTTTAGGGGTTTAGGGTTTCGGGGTTTAAGGATTTAGGGGTGAGAGTTTGAGGTGGGTAGTTTTCCAAACCAGGTCCTTTTTTTGTGTGGGATCTTAGAGAACCACCCAGGTCCAGGTGCATTGGGGGCCTGGGGTCTTCGGAGCTACGCTCAAAGATCTGCGGCCCTTTGTTAAAGGAAACTACAGGTGGGGAGTTTGGGGTATATAGGGCTTCTATAAGGCTTCTTTAAGGTATATAGACCTCCTACAAGGCTCCATAACGGTAACTACCCACCTGAAAATGTCCTAGACTTTGAGTTTATGGGTGACGTGGACAGACCCCATCTTGGCATGGACAAGCTTGGGGAAAGGTGCAGCTACGGAGATTGCTTGGATTTAGGTTCAAGCGTTCGCGGTTAGATACGGGTCTGCTACAGGTTGTACAGACTTGCCTTTAGCTGGAAGTGATGTTGGCTGTGCGTTCAACTACGTATCGTCATGCAAGGCTGTGGCTCCGGCAGTATTTGCAACGGCTGATGGGCTGATAACACATGCTTGCCAGCGCAGGGTTTATCTTTTGGCAGTCCGGGATAGGGATGCCTTCACTCTTGTCCTGTCCGCAACATCCTTAACTGTGACCATGCTTCCCGGAATCTAAGCGCACTCTACAGGTTACCAAGTCCCATGATCCTACAACCCACACCCTAAGCCCTAAGCCCTAAGCCCTAAGCCCTAAACCCTAAGCCCTAAACCCTAAGCCCTGAACCCTAAACCCTGAACCCTAAACCCTGAAACCCCAACACCCCCCCCCCCTGTCAAGGCCTGCATCCCCGCTTCATAGAGCTCCAGGGACGGGTCGAAGAGCTCGCGCGTCGCCTCCAGGCTGAGCTCCTGCCTTCGAGGCGCGTCGCGGCAGAAAGAACTCTGCAGCTTAGCTTAGAGGTTAGGGTCTAGGGTTTAGGGTTCTGTAGTGTAGGTTAGAGGTAGTTTAGTTTGAAGATTAGGGTTTAGGGTTTAGTTTAGAAGTAGTTTAGTTTGAAAGTTGGGGGTTAGGGGTTTTAGGGTTTAGGATGGGGTATTTAGGATTCAATGCAAGGGACTGGTGATTCGAACTTCCCGGGTATGATATTCGAGGGACAATCCTGCCTAGACCCTCCATCTACCCTCTATTAGACCCTAAGTACCCCTTATTTGGGACCATATACCCCGATTTGAGGGTACAAGGAGGGTCCTGGTGGGAATCCTCGACCGAAGTTTTTCGGGTTTAGGATTCCTAGGCTTCGGCGGAGAGAGCACGCGGCCTTCAGGCGGTCCCGACATTGGGTATCCGAACCCTAAGCCCTAAGCCCTAAACCATACAAGCCCTAAACCC